GTGCTTGTTATTCTTTCCTTAAACCCTGCCCAAAGGGGAAGCTTTTCAAAAGCCTTTGAGGCTGTGTCATAGACGCACCAGGCCAACGGCACCATGACTGTATGACTTGGACTTCAGAGGATATAAACTGCAAGTTCCAGGACCTGTGCGCTGACCTGTGTTTGGAAAGCTTATTAAATGCTGTTATTGCCATAGGTTATGCTTTGCAATGTCTGTACCTAACCCAAGAAAATTTAGCACAAGGGGTGACCTTGGTAAATGCTGTGAAAAGTGCTCGACACCCGACAGTGTTTTAAAGAAAATGACCAAACCGGAGGATACCCGCTTAGCGCATTATATTGACCGTCTGGTCTGCACAGTTACCGAACCCTGCTTAAGAAAAAGTCTATTTGTAAGAAATCTAAAAGGATTAAGTTAGAGAATGGTGAGGGAACAATCATGCGATATAAAGCTTGGTAGCTGTAAATAAAAATATCTATTGAAAAAGGCTTTGTGACTATCTGTGTTTCTGTTAGGTCTGTGTGGCCCTTAAATAAGATAAAAGTTTTGATGGAGCATTTTGGTTTGTTTTTAAGAGGCTGTATGTCTTTTAAATAAAAACAAAACAAAACAATAGTTTGTGAGAACCCAGATGAACTCGTGTCTTTGTGTAAACTCCTGAGGTTTTATTTGAACTGTCCAATAGCGTTTACAAACTCTTGGGGTTATGTTTAAACTGTCCAATAGCATTCTACAAACTCCTGAGATTTTATTTAATTTAGCATTAATCAGAGCTCACCATCCCCACCCACCCATCTTCCCTACTGTGGGTGTACAACCATCAAACTTAATTACTGATCACTAACATATTTAACTCTGATGGAAACAAAGGTGGATAATCATATCTAGACTTACACCTATAGACTCAAGGCAGTAGAGTCAGTAGGGGTGTGGTTAAACCATTCAGTTCAACAGGGTGAGTCAGCTCTATTGTATTCAAACACATGTCTCAAACATCCCTGTTTTATACACAATATAGGAGCTTTTTTTTTTTTGTCTTTAAAAGCTTTTTTTGTTTGTTTTTTCTCAGGATTCTACTACACACATTTAAGGTTTTTGCTGTAAATAAGGCTTTTTACACAAAGACACGAGAGCTGGGTTCTCACAAACTATTTTTTGTTTTGTTTTTTGTTTAAAAGACATACAGCCCCTTGAAAACAAACCAAGATGCTCCATCAAAACTTTTATCTTATTTAAGGGCCACACAGATCTATACTCTGGTATAATATACTGGAAAAACTAACAGTGTAGTATATAAAATATGTTAAGTAGAAATTAGACTTTGGCCTAAACTTAGCCTAAGTGTAGAGGAGTATGGGAAATTGAGATTGCTAGTGTGGAAAAGTTACAGATAAGTGGGAGACAGTAAGATGCGAAAATTGAAGTTAGCAAGGACATGAGCCAAGGTTATGTTGCCATTACATTATGGTTATAACTGGTTTAAACAAGGTTTTTAATAGTGTTTTTGAGAATTGTGAATGTTTTATTAAATGCTATCTATATTGATAGTATGGGAAGGACATTGGTGTAGATGTCAATTTAAATACAGTAATGTGTAATGTAAAGAGGCAATAAGGAGTTATCAGAAATATAATTATGGTAAGGCGTAGTTTAATGTTAATTAGTATGATAATGGATTATAAAAGGAGTAGTTTTGTTAATTTGGGAAGAGCTCCAACTAACATCAGCAGGGTACCATTAGGTTCCAGGATTATAAGGCTGTACTTCACTCTGCTGTCAACGGCTTTATCACCCATTGATACATTATTTCATCTTTGAGTGTAAGTATAATTGCAGTATTGGGTAAGTGGTCATGGCATGCCTGTTTGCTTAACTAATCATTTTCCTTTTAAATAAAGTTTCATTTTTCTCATTCAGAGTGTCACCTAGTGGTTCTCTACTAAATAATTTTTCTGTAACCAACCTAGAGGCTCAAATCTGTAAACTAAAGCTTTGTCTACACTAGTACTTTTGTTGGCAAAACTTTTGTCGGTCAGGGGTGTGAACCCCTCCTCCCCCCCCCGAGCAACATAAGTTTCACTGACAAAAGCGCCGGTGTGGACAGCGCTATGTCAGCGGGAGATGCTCTCTTGCCAATATAGCTACTGCCGCTCGTTAGGGATGGTTTAATTAGGCAGGCAGGTGAGCTCTCTCCTGCTGGGATAGAGTGGCTACACAGGAGACCTTACTGCAGCACAGCTGCAGTGGTACAGCTGTGTCACTGTATGGTCCATAGTGTAGATGTAGCCTTAGTTAGGTTTTTATTGCACCCTTATCTTTAACAATGTAATATAAATTGGGGGCATTTCAACATAAAGGTCACAACATGTAACAACTGGCAAAGTATTCCTTTGCCCCGCCCTAGTTCTCACCTTTGTAACATATATACTAGCTTTAAAACAGTATCATCAGGAGGAGAGGGATAACCTTATTCAAAGCTTATAAAATCTGCTATGAGAAATATCTGTGGCTGGAGGAAAAACAATGAGTTCAGTGTTACAGGGGCAAATCCAGTGTTTAAATAAACAATAGTTTACAGATAATTCCAGGACACAGCAGAGAAAACATGGATAAGAGTAAAAAGGTTAAAGGTATATTACTGGAGCTGTTTTTGTGATAGTGACTAGGAACTGATTTTGGACTTGTCTGAGAGCGCTAGAATATTATGTTTTCCCGCTCTAAAACTATATATGCAACCTAAGCAAGAAGGAGAAGGCTTCTTCATCAACAGATATGGCATCCATGTAAACACAGCTGTCAACTCAACCTAAATTTGCCGGCATCCCTTTCAAAATAAACTCCTCATCCCCATATGTGGAGTTGGAGTTTCCTCATCCAGATTTTGGCTGAAGGTCAGTACAACCACTGAGGAGAATTTAGAGTTTGGATGCAGCCCAGTGTTTTGATTGGCCAGCAGCCAAGAAAGTACTTAGATAAAGGCTGGGGAGAGAGTTGGGATAGTGCATGGTAAAGGTGACCTGAGTGGGAGCATGAGGCCTCGCAGATCTCACACCCAGGTCTGCAGGCAGTGCTCAGATTGCAGCCATACCCCAGTAACTCACTAGTACCAGTAGGGAGTGTGGGCTGGTAGACCCTAAATCACCATAGGGACTGCCCACATGGCTCCCAATTGGAGGAGATATCCAGTCTCTCCAATTGGCTCAGACGCATCAGAAGAAGGCACTAGGTGAGTTGTTGGCTGGCTACTACATTTTGCAATTTGCTCAAACAGGAACAAGAGTTTTGATAATTCTCAAGGTTATTCAAGCTATTTTTTATTTTCCAGATATAAGTCTTTGAACAATGCCACTCAGATGAGAGAAAAAATGTCTGAAAAATTTCCTGGCCATTGACCTGAGATGTGTCATCCAGTTTCAGGTCCCTACACCTTTGGGACATGACATATCCGATAACCTGGAAAGTTCACAAGTGAGTTTAAAATTTGGGTTTGGTTCCAGCATATCTATGTTTTCTTTGATGTGGACCAACTCTAAGAATTTAACCAAATCTAATTCCTTTTTTTTTTTTAAGGGCTAAATTCTACAGCCAGACAAGAACTATAAGGTTTGAGCCTGATCAATGCATCTTGAAATGTCAACAGTGTCTTTATTGTATTCTAGGCATAGGTTAAGCAGGTGCTGATCTGGAAATCAGACAGTAGTGTTGGAACTCACTTCTCCATTAATGCACCTGCAGGAATGGTATTTGCAACATAGGAATTGCCATACTGGATCAGACCCAATGTCCACCTAGTCCAGGATCCTGTCTTAGACAATGGCCAGTTTCAGATGCCTCAGAGAAAGGCGTAAGAACCTCACAGTAGTCAGCACTGATTACATTTTAGCGTTTCTTTCTAAAGTTCTTAGCCAGGACATAATTAAGAATTTTAAATATTTCAGTACTTAAGTATTTTGTTTATCATTAATGGGTCAGATTATCCTTTCAGCTGCAGCAGCTCAATTCTGTTATTTCATTGGAATTCCACTTTTTTATTAAATACATATTTAACCACTATGGCTATTAATGGCTTATTGATAGCAAGCTGAGATATTGGCTAGATATAAAATTAATGCTCTATTTGCTCTTTAAACCCTTCTCAGATGATGCTAAATTAGAAGGGTAAAAGCACCGAGCTGCCTGAATGCCATCTTCTTTGATCCTTTGCATTTATTTTCTTCTTTCTCTGGAGAAGTGGATGTAGATATAATTTAAATCACTGCACCACTAATCCGTTTATATTATATTCTGATATAATATAATCAGTTGGATTCTGCTAGGAATACACATCTTCCATGTAGTATTTTATAAGCGTGAGGAAGTGTTATGATTTTTGTTTCAATATATATTGATGAGTAATTGGGTGCTTTTTAATTTCATTCAGGTCAAAAACCATATTTTTGCTTTTGATATGTGAAAAAGGAAAACATTTATTAAAATACAGACATTGAAATTAAAACGCCACAATTAGTCTCCCATTTTTCTTCTGCATGTGTTTCTTTTGTCCATTTGTGGACTTGAAAGAATGCTTGTTTTACATCAGTGGCAATATACAAATTTTATCTTGAGTTAATTGGTGTCATTTTCCAAGCCCTGTTCCTTTTTCAGATCTCTTCATTCCTCCTCTAGCCATAGTCTGCCTTTGCACAGCCTGTCCCCTCATCAAAATGCTTTTGTGTCTGCTCATAGCCCTGTACCTACAGCATACTCCCTCTTAGATCATGGTATTGTGTATTGCCTCAGCAACCTCTTCTGTATGCACTACCCATCTCTGCACAAAGGCCTTTGCTCTCTCTGTACCCCTTTCTCTCTCATCTTTTGTTGAAGCCTACATTCATATCCAAAGTATCTTCTACCCAGCCTTTTATGTGGTGTGCTTTAAACCCTTTTATTCCTTTGATGAACATTCTCAGCTACCCATTCTCTCCCTTACAGGGAGGTGGATCTTCCTCAAAGTTATTATGCAGCAAGAAGAGACTAGGCCCCATTATTTGAATGTCTTTTTGATTTCACACGTCGTTTAAATTAATTGAATATATGTGTAACCAATGATTGTCCATTAAAGTAGCGACACTGATCAGTGCTTTTCAGTAGGGAAGAGAAATTAAAACCACTATGAGTAAAGACGCAAGAATCAGGCTTTGTGCTGCTTTCTTTGAATTAATATTAGATGACAAATCCCATATTAATAACACATAGATACTTCTATAGCTACCAAGAGTTCATCGTGACTTACAATATTACAATAAAGTGAAAAGAAATGAATGATTCGATTATGATTTTAAAGCTTTCCTGTTTTTATGAAAATCATTATATTATTTGCAGAGGAATGTACCAGAAAAAGTGGTTCAGTGACAGATTTTTTAGTATTATAAAGCCCCTTTTAGAATTATTATCGGGGATAGAGAAAGTAAGGCACAGGGTGCCTTTCATTTAAAAAAAATTTTTTTGGTGGTCTAAAAACTAGCCCTTACACAACATTTTTTGCATCACAAAACCACTTCAACAATTTGTCTCCACGGGGAGAGGGGAGGGGGGGGAGGAGTGTGACGGGGTGGTGGTGTTGTTGAATATTTGAACAGCAGAGTATCTGGCTGGGATAGAAACAACAGCAATAAAGCTAGTAAGGGGAAGTTTACACAACACCTGCTTAGTCTATGCCTAGCTACAGCCACTATAATTAATCTTGCACTTTATAGAGCAAAAATATGGGTTTTTTTTAAAGATAGATTTTCTACTATAAACTTATTTTCTGCAAAATAAATGACAGCCTTACAGAGTACCAGCCCATTAAAACAGCATTATGAAATGTTAAATGGGTCTGATTTAAACACACACAGGCAAATTCTGATCACAGTTACTTGGGTGTAGCTTCCATTGACCTTAGTGGGAACTGCACTTCCACCCATTTAACTAAGTGCAAAATTTGGCCCATAAATAAGGAAAAAATTCAGAGTAAGGCTGAAACTGACTTCAGCTAAGCCTGTTAGAATTAAATATTCTAGAAATACATTTGAGATTCATTCCACTAAATTCTCCTAGGCTTCTAGAGGCAACAGCAGATCCCAAGGTACCAACTGTTTGAAAACTTTGTTTAGACATCTGGACATATTAATTAATAACAGCATTTTATTATTACTTTGGAATTGCCGTGAGATTTCAGAATTTAACGTAGGCCTTTAGGCCCAAATCCTGCCCCAAAGCTCTGCTCCCTTTACACAGCTCAGACAGAGCAAAGGGAGCAGTAACTCTCAGCCTCCTTCTGGCTGGGGATTCTTCCAGCATGAGAGACTTTCAGTGGGCTTAGAGGCAGAGTAGAGTAGGGTTACCATATTTCAGCAAGAAAAAAAGAGGACGGGAGGAGCCCCGCCCTAGCCCCGCCCCTG